GAATTGGCTCAGTTTGGATCCCAGTTTGGCTCAGTTTGGATCCCAGTTTGGATCCCAGTTTGGATCCAGTTTGGCTCAGTTTGGCTCAGTTTGGATCCCAGTTTGGATCCCAGTTTGGATCCAGTTTGGCTCAGTTTGGCTCAGTTTGAATCCCAGTTTGGATCCCAGTTTGGCTCAGTTTGGATCCCAGTTTGGCTCAGTTTGGATCCCAGTTTGGATCAGTTTGGGTCAGTTTGGATCCCAGTTTGGATCCCAGTTTGGATCCCAGTTTGGATCCCAGTTTGGGTCAGTTTGGATCCCAGTTTGGATCCCAGTTTGGATCCAGTTTGGATCCCAGTTTGGATCCCAGTTTGGATCCCAGCTTGGATCCAGTTTGGATCCCAGTTTGGATCAGTTTGGCTCAGTTTGGATCCCAGTTTAGATCAGTTTGGATCCCAGTTTGGATCCCAGATTGGCTCAGTTTGGATCAGTTTGGCTCAGTTTGGATCCCAGTTTGGATCCCAGTTTGGATCCCAGTTTGGCTCAGTTTGGATCCCAGTTTGGCTCAGTTTGGATCCCAGTTTGGATCCCAGTTTGGATCCCAGTTTGGATCCCAGTTTGGATCCCAGGGTGAGTGGTCAGAGGGGAGCCCCAGGCTCAGGAGGGACCCTGGGTGTGCAGGAAGGGCTGGGCTGAGCTGGGCTTGGGAGGTTTGGGCTGAGTTTTGGGAAGAGGAGCTGCCCTGGGGAAGATCTGGGCTTTCTTTGGGAGATCCCTGAGCTCACCCCAGGTTTGTGCAGCTGCAGGGGGGGATTTTGGACCTTGAACCCTTCCCTTTTCAGGTCCCTTCTCCTGGCCGCTTTGCCAAGTGGCTGCTGTGAAATTCCAAATTCCAGGGATTTTCTGCTGAGCAGGGCTGGGGAGGATGAAGCTGCAGGTTTGGGGAGCATTAAAATCCCAGACTGCAGGGATTTAGGTGCCTGTGCCAAGCTCTGGCAGGGCTGCAGAGGATGAAGCCGCAGGTTTGGGGGGAATTAAACACAAATTGTGTCTGCTGGGGACGTCCAGGTGCACCCTGACTGCCAATGCTGGATTTTGCTCCCTGTCCTTCCCTGCCCTTCCCAACAGCCAGACCCCAAGCACCCAGGGAAGTCGGCAGCTGAGAGGTGAGTGAAGAGTGACGAGAACTTTCAACCAGATCTGGAGAGGGAAGGGCAAATATTCATGGTAGAAATCTCATTTTGTCATATCAGAGGTGGCATCAGTGTATACAAACAAAGTAACTTGGGATTTTTGTAATTGATATTCTCTTGTATTTTTTTTAGGTTCAATTAAGGGTTCTTGCTGACATGTTGAAACACGTTTTCTAAAGCAAATACTTGCAAATTATGCCTATAGAAATTTAGGTTTCGTAGCTGACAGCTATGATTGATTCACGTTGTCATATTGGAGGGACTTAGCTCAGAAAGCTCAAACCTTTTCAACCCCAAATTTGCTTTTATTGCCTTTTAATACTGACTTGAAATATGACAACTTGGTTTGTACATGAATATTGCAGTATTTTATTTCCATATATTAAGAAAATAACATTTCCACTCAGGATAACAGCGCTGTTTTCCTGGGAGGGAGTGGTATGAGTGTCATGACAATGTCATGTGATGGTAGAATTTCTTCATTGACGAATCTATAGTGGTTGTGTATACTTTATTTACCCATCTTTGTGTTCCTACCCAAAACTGGAGCCTTTTGTTGTTTCCTCCCTGCTGAGCCCTCGGGGGCAGAATTGGAGAAAACCCCTCACTGGGTCATTTACACCCCAGAGAATTGTGCAGATCCTGACGTTGTGGGTACAAACAGCGCTGCAGGCACTCGTGGTGGCAGAGCCCGAGTCTGCTGGTTTGGCTGAGCCCTTGGATGCCTCCCCCACCTGAGCAGCCTGGCTGAGACCAGCACCACTTCCCCTTCTTGTTCCTCGTGGCCTTCTCCCACCAAAATCCGCTTTGTTCTCTCTTTTCTCCCCTTTTCCTTTCCCGTTTCAGGCGGGGCTGGCGGGGGTGCAGCAGAGCCCCACTGGTGCAGTTTGTGCTTTTTGGGGGGGTCCTGGGGCTGGCTGAGATTTGGGATGGGCTGGGGGCCACCCTGGGTGCTCCTGGCTGGGGCTGGGGGTGGCACCAGGGTGGCTCTGCTGTCCCCATGGTGGCACCAGGGTGGCTCTGCCCTGCCCAGGGTGGCACCAGGGTGGCTCTGCCCCATCCCAGGGTGGCACCAGGGTGGCTCTGCCCTGCCCAGGGTGGCACCAGGGTGGCTCTGCCCCATCCCAGGGTGGCACCAGGGTGGCTCTGCCCTGCCCAGGGTGGCACCAGGGTGGCTCTGCCCCATCCCAGGGTGGCACCAGGGTGGCTCTGCCCCATCCCCAGGGTGGCTCTGCCCCATCCCCAGGGTGGCTCTGCCCCATCCCATGGTGGCTCTGTCCCCCCCAGGGTGGCACCAGGGTGGCTCTCCTGTCCCCATGGTGGCTCTGCTGTCCCCATGGTGGCTCTGCCCTGCCCAGGGTGGCTCTGCCCCATCCCCATGGTGGCTCTGCCCTCCTTGGCACCCCCGTGCTGCCAGCCCCAGTAATTCCCGTGTTTGTCTGTTCAGAACAACCTCTGGCATAACAAACTATTGACAACTATTGACTGTTCTTAGGCGGTGGGGATAAATTTTCCTTTTTTTTTTTTTTTTCCATGACTTTTCGTGACTGACTTTGGCTGTAAAACTTTTTTTGTTCAACAGCAAAAGTTTATTTTGGGGGGGGTTTTTTTGTTGGATTATTTTTTGTTGTTCTTGTTCCAAGATGTGTAATTCTTTTACGGATTTTTTTTTTTAATATTCCTTTTTTTTTTTTCCTAACATTGCTTCATTAAACAACTAAATATTTAAAAATGTAATATTTGGACCAGATGTTGTGAATAATAGTAGATAAAGCTATTTTATTCTGTATTTTTAAAGCTGTTCAGTATAAATAAACGCGGGCATAGATGCAGTGATTGTTCCTTTGGTGGTGAATTGTGGAATTACAGGATCCTGGAGTGGTTTGGCTTGGAAGGGAAGGATTCCTCCCTAATTGATTGATTTCTCCCTAATGGATGATTAATTAACTGGTTAATGGATTATTAATTTCAGAATCCAGGTGATGGCCAGATCCAACCCAGAGTCTTTGGAGCTGCCCAAATCCACAACCCCCAAAAGCCTTTGGGACCCTCAGCTCCCACCTCGGGGAGTTCCTGGGTTTGTGGGGCACAGGCTCAGATTCCTGCCCCTTTCTTGGCATTTCCTGCCTGTTCCTGGGATTCTTAATGGGATTTCCTGCCCATTCCTTGTGATTCCTGCCCCTTCCTGAGATTCCCTTCCCATTCCTGGGATTCTTCCTGGGATTCCTGCTCCATTCCCCCCTCCAGGCTCCACTGCCTGAGCACTGGTGACAGCGAGCAGGACCTGGCAAAAATCAGGATTTTACCCCAATTCCACAGCCAGGATTCCCCTGTGCTCCCACAGGTGCCCACCCCAAACCCCGGATTTATTTTTATTATTTTTATTTTTATTTTTATTTTTCTGTTTGCATCCCCCCCCAGGAGCTGAGGGTCGGGGGAAGCTCTCCCCGTGTTTGGGGACAAATCCTGGGGTTTGGGGCCGGCTCCATTGTCCTCTCTCCCCACCACAAAGGGCCTCTGATCCCTGCCAGCCCTGGAGATGCTGCTGGAATATCAATCCTGACCCAGCCCCGCTCACTTTCGCCGAGTCAGTGCTTCCCTGAGCCAGAACTTCTCATATTTTACACAGAAATCCAAGAAAATCTGGGAAAAAAGGCCCATTCCAGCCAGTGCCTGCAGAGAGGCCAGTTTGGCTCAAGCAGATGCTTTGATTATTTCTTTGTTTTGGGGTTGTTTGGTTGGGTTTTTCTCTTTCCCTTTCGTGTGGGCTGTTTCTAGGCAAATTCCTTCAAAAGAAAAAAAGCCCAGAGGAGCCACAAAGCTCTGGGAAAGGTCAGGGGCAGACAAAGGAGGAGGGACACGGCTGCTGCTCCTCTGGAATACTGAACACCCCCAGACATCCCCAAACTCTCTCTAAACACCCCCAAACTCCCCCAAACTCCCCCCAGGACACCAGAACCGGCCGGGCAGGATGGGACCCCGGTCCTGGGAACGCTGAGTGCTGCAGCTGCTGCTCCAGGCACATTTTATTGGAATTTATTTCCTCCTCCATCGCTGCTCGGGGGCGGTTTTGGAGCCGGTGGGATCCCGAGGCCGAGGGGAGCAGCCAAGGGCGCTGCCTGCACGGCTCTGGCACTGAAAATCCCAGGATTTGGGGCTTTTTAGGGCAGAAACAGCCGCTCCAGCCTGTAGGGTGCAGCCCAGAAATTCCCTCTGGGGATTCTGGACAAAGCTGGAGCTGATTGTGGGAGCATTTCCAGCCTGGCTGCGTGAGATGGGGATTCCTTCGGGGTTCTGGTCTTGGCAGTGGGGTTGGAGAATCCCTTGGGATCCAGTTCCTGACGTTGGGAATGGGGAACCTTTTGGGATCCTGTCCTTACCATTGGAAATACCAGGGCATTTCTGGGGACAGTGGGGACGAGGTGTCCTTTGGGACTCGGCTCTTGGCACCAGGGATGGAGAATCCTTTCAGACGCCGCTCCTCAGGTGCCACCGGGCTGGAGCCGGGGTTGGGGAACCCAGAACCTGCCCAGGGACGTTCCTGGAGCATCCCTCGGGATGTTTGGGCGGGGACAACGCGGCTCCCGGAGGTGACGCCTTTGGGGTGCCCAGCCCTGGCACCCGGGCAGGGATCCCGGGGCCGCGATGTCCTCAGGGATGCGGGCTCCGGGCTGACCCCGGTGGAGGGAGGGAGGGACGGGGGTCCCCAGGGAGGGACGGGGGTCCCCAGGGAGGGACGGGGGTCCCCAGGGAGGGAGGGGGCGTCCCCCGCGCTGCCACCCCCGGCCCCGCCCGCGCCCCTCCCCGTCCCGCCCCGCCCCGCCCAGGGGCGGCCTCCGGGGCACCGGCTGCGAGCGGAGCGGCACCGGCACCGGCACCGGGTGAGTGCGGGCGGGATGGGGCATCACCCTCACCCCCATCCCCATCCTCATCCCCATCCTCATCCCCATCCCCATCCCCATCCCGCTCTCCATCCCCATCCCCGTCCCCCGCGCCGGGAGCGGCCCCGGGGCTGAGCCGCGCCCCCCCCCCCGCGGCAGCCGGGAGCTCACGGAAAACCTCCGGGATCCCCGGGATCCGTGCCCCAGCCCCGGTGTCACCGCAGCCTCCCCGAGCGCCCCCAGCATCGCCCCCCGAGCGGGGCTGGAGCGGCCGCGCTTCCCTGCCCGGGCTCGGCACCTTCGCTCCCCGTCCCGCCCGCGCTGTCCGGGGCCCGCCCGCAGCCCCTGGCGGCCGCCGGCTCCTCCCGAGGGCTTCACCCGAGCGCGGCCCCGGGTGACCCGAGCCCCTCCCGCGTCCCCGGGTGACCCGAGCCCCTCCCGCGGCCCCTCCGCGGGCGCTGAGCGCTCCCTCCTTCCCCTGTGCCCCGCAGGACGGAGCGGCCGGGCCGGAGAACAATAGCGGCGCTGGGAACAATGGAGCGGCCGCCGCTCCCCGCTTAGGGATGCGGGCCGGGGCAGCGCTCCCAGCCCGGGAGTAGCGCAGGAACCGCGGCCAGCGCAGGATCCGCGCCTCGGGGTGAGCGCTCGGCTCGGTGCCCGCTCCGCCCGTGCCCCGGCGCCGCCTCCGGGCGATGCTCGGGCAGCGGAGCGGCCTCGGGCCGGGGAAGGGCGGCCGGGGCTGCGGGGAGGGAGCATCGCGGCCTCTCCGGGGATGGGATATTCCCACAATGCTCGGCTGCGCCAGATCCGCGCCTCCCGCCCCATGCCGGGGATGCTGCCGGGCTGGGGTGGGACTGAAGCAGCAGAAACCCCCCAAAAGCCGCCGATTTCTCTGCAGGAGCAGGGAAGAACATCGCTCTCCTGCTAAAAACGCTGTTTTGGAACGGTGGCGGGGTGGTTGGCTACTTTTTTCCTTGTTTTGTTGTGTTGGAGCCGGGCAGGAGCTGCGCGGATGCGGCCGGGCTGGGCTGCGGGGGTGCGGGCCGGGCTTTAGGGGGGCTGGTTTGGGGTGGGGAACAAGAGGAGGCAGAGAGGGCCCGAACCCTCCTCGGTTTGCCCCGGAGCTGCGCTAAAAGCGCTTTGCAAAGCGCCCAGAGAGGCTCGGGCCGGGCAGGGCAGGGCGGAACCGCGGCACCTCCGAGCGGGAAACTGAGGCACGGCGGTGCCGGGAGCTGAGCCGGCCCCAAAGGGCCAGGGTTGAGCAATGCCGCGACTTCCACTTGGCCGGCGCTGTGATCTGGGTGATTCCCAGCATTTCCCCGGTGATTCCCAGCGTTTTTTTGGTGATTCCCTGCTTTTCCCGGGTTATCCCAGCCTTTCCCGGGTTATCCCAGCATTTCCCGGGTTATCCCAGCTTTCCTGGGTGATTCTCAGCTTTTCTCGGCTGATTCACAGCATTTCCCGGGTGATTTGCAGCATTTCCCCGGTGATTCCCAGCCTTTCCCGGGTTATCCCAGCATTTCCCGGGTTATCCCAGCATTTCCCCGGTGATTCCAGCTTTTCTGGGTGATTCCCAGCCTCTCCCGCGTTATCCCAGCCTCTCCCGGTCCCGGAGCCGCCTCTCCCCTCCGCTCCCAGCCTGGTTTTCTCTGCAGACCCAAAAAAGGAAGAATTTGCCCCTTTCCTGAGCGCTAGGAAGGGGATGTGATGACGGAGGCCAAGGTGGCAGAGCCGGGGCGTAAACAGGAAACTCCTCGGCCCGGGAGGATGAACCTGCACCTTGGAGCTCCCCTTCCATCCCCAACTCGGGACTTTTCTTATGGCTCCTGCTCACCCCCGTGTCCCCTTCGAGGGAATTGGGATTTTGGGAATTGGCATTGACCCCTGGGCATCTCCAGGATGCCCTGGAAAAAAAGCTCTGAGGGGTACCAAGGGTTCTGCTGCTCCAGGAGGGGTTTTTCCTCTCACTTTTGTGGTTTTGCTGCTCCAAAAGGGCTCTTTTCACTCCCTTTCATGATTCTGCTGCTCTATGAGGGTTTTTTTCCCACTCCCTTTGGTGTTTTTGCTGCTCCAGAAAGGTTTTTCCCACTCCCTCTCATGATTCTGCTGCTCCAGGAGGGTTCATTCCACTCCTTTTGCTCTTTTTGCTGCTCTAGGAGAGTTCTTCACACTCACTTTGGTGTTTTTGCTGCTCCAGGAGGGTCCTTTTCACTGCCTTTGCTTTTTTTGCTGCTCCAGGAGGGTTCTTTTCCCTCACTTTGGTGTTTTTGCTGCTCCAGGAGGGGTTTTTGGGGTTTTTTTCACTCCTTTTGGTGTTTTTGGCACCATTTTCAGATCTGCCGTGTCCTTTAATCCCCCTTGAACCTCCCCAGAGCTTTTCCTCCCTTGCCAGGGGGCCCCCACCAGGGGATGCCCCTTCAGCCACTCCTGCACCCACACCTGGAACCCCAAATTTGGGACCCCACACTCAGCTGCTGCCCCAAAACCCCATGGGTTTATCCCAAACCCTTGAGCCAGCTGCAAAATCCCCTCCTGGTACCATTTTTGGTGGATAAATGGGATTATTCCTGTGGGAGGATGGATGGAGGTGGCTGCAGGAGGAAGGGCGGTGCCAGATTTTGCTGAATTTTGCCAAATTTCACCGAATTTTACCAAAATACTCAGGCAGCTCCTCAGGAAACCCAAAGCTTTGTCAGCTCTTCTGCAATTTTTCTTCTCCTTCTGCTTTTTCTCTGAGCCCCAGGGCTGGGCTGGGCCGATTTCCTGCCCTTCCCCTCCTGACACTGAGGAGTTTTTGCTGTTGAAAATCAGTTTTTATCCCGACGTGTGGGATGGAGCCCCCAGGATTGCTGCCCTGCAGGAGCTTTAGGGTTTGGGTTCATCCCCCGACAGGTTTTACTGCCCTGGCCTGGATTTTGGGGTGAATTTGGGGCTTTTCTTTCAGGAAAAGGAGGATTTGTGTCCCAGGGGGCTGGGAGGAAGCACATGGAGAGCAGGGAGGTGGAGGAAATCAGAGCCTTGAGGAGCAAACGCTTTTTGCTCGCCTCAGTTTCTCTTCCAGGAGAAGGGGAGGGAGGGAAAAGACCCTGAAAAATGAAATTTTTCCATCCAAGGAAAAGCATGACCCCAAAAACGCTTTTTTCACCATTTAACACCTCCCAGTTCCCCATTCTGAGGCCTCTTTGAGGGCTGATTTCCAAACTGAGCATCCCAAGGGCTTCACCCCAAACCCCACCTCAATTCCACCCTGCAGCCCCCAAAAATCCCCTGAGCTCTGAGCCAGGGCCCGTCCCAGGTGGGATTTGGGGTTCCCAAGGGTTTGTGTGGCCCCAAAACCCGGCTGGGATCATAAAAACCTGGAGGATCAGCCCAGAATTTCTGCCTGCCTGGAAATCCATCCCTGGCACGGCCCCGGGGAGCAGCAGCCGCTCCCGGCCCTGCGCCTTTGAGCTCAGGGGGTGAAAAAGGGAAAAACCTCGGGGAAAAGGAAAAATTCCCAGTGCCCCTCCCTGCGGCGGCCCGGGCCTCGCTGCTGGGACACCCGGGGTGCTGCGAATGCAAATTCAGCGTCAGGAGAGAAAGGAGATCTCGGCGGGGATTAAATTTTCAGTGAGTTCGGGCGCCTCTGTCCTTATCTGATCTCCCTCGTTCCCCGAGGAGCCGCCGAGCCCCGCCCGCCCCTCCGAGCCTTTTCCAGGCCCTGGGGGTTATTCGTGTTCCATTAGTTAGTTCATTTTAGGTTTAGTTTTTATCTATTTATTTATTATATTTCTTTAAATTTTATTTATTTTCTTCTTATTTTTTAAATTTTATTTATTTTTACCTTTAGTTTTTCATTTCCTATTTATTTTAAAGTTTATTATTCATTTATTTAAAGTTTATTTTATTATTTTATATTATTTTTAATTTTAATTTTAATTACTTTTGATTATTTATTATTTTTATTATCTTCAATTTTTATTCTTACTTTCATTCTTATTTTTGATTCCTTTTCATTGCTTTTTATTTTGTGACTTATTTTATTTTCATTTTTAATTGGTTTCAATTTTAGTTTTAGCTTTACTTTTATTTTTACTTTTACCTCCATTATATGTATATATTTATACTTATAAAATATATTTATATTTATACTTTTATTTTTATTTCCATTTTTTAAATTTCCATTTTTATTTTTTATTTTTATTTCCATTTTTATTTCCATTTTTATTTTTTTTATTTCCATTATATGTATATATTTGTACTTATACAATATATTTATACTTATACTTTTATTTTTATTTCCATTTTTTTTGTTAATTTCCATTTTTATTTCCATTTCTATTTTTTATTTTTATTTCCATTTTTATTTCCATTTTTATTTTTTATTTTTAATTTCCATTTTTATATCCATTTTTATTTTTAATTTTTATTTCCATTTTTATTTTTTTATTTTTCTCCCCCAGGGGAGTGTGGCTGGCTTGGCTCTCCTGACCCCGCCGTGTCCCCCCCAGCCCGGTCCCCCCATGCCCGCCCGGCCCCACCATGGAGCTCAGCAGTGCAGGGGGCGCCGTGCCCTGCGGGAAGGACAAATTCATCTCCAGGTACCGGGACAGGGGGGACACGGGGGGACATGGGCGGGGACATGGGGGTGACATGGGCGGGGACACGGGGGTGACATGGGCGGGGACATGGGCGGGGACACGGGGGTGACACGGGGGGACATGGGCGGGGACACGGGGCTGACACGGTGGGACATGGGCGGGGACACGGGGGACATGGGGGGACATGGGCGGGGACACGAGGGTGACACGGTGGGACATGGGCGGGGACACGGGGCTGACATGGGGGGACATGGGCGGGGACAGGGGGGACACAGTGGGACATGGGCGGGGACACAGTGTGACATGGGGCTGGGGCATTCCTGGTGTTCAGGGGATATGGGATGTGGGATATGGGGTGTGAGCTATGGGATATGGGATGGGATATGGGTTAAGGGATGTGGGATTTGAGATATGGGATGTGGGGTGTGGGATTTGGGGTCTGGGTTGAATGTGGGATGGATTTGGGATGTGGGATCTGGGATATGGGATGGATGTGGGATATGGGATATGGGATTTGGGATATGGGATATGGGGTATAGGGTGTGGGACAGATTTGGGATACGGGATGTGGGATAGGGGATGGCTTAGCTGGAACCTGAAATGGGGAATGTGGTGTGGAATGTGTTATCTGGAAGCTAAAATATACAATATCTAACAATATCTAACAGTATATAACAATATCTACAATCCATATATAGTGTTGTATATATACAATATCTACCAATACCTACAATATACACCATAGAATGTGTAATATATAACAATGTATCACAATATCTACCAATATATACTATAAATATATATTGCATTGTATATATACAATATCTACCAATATACAACAATATCTACCAGTAAATACAATATATAACCACAGATAACAACACTACCTGATGTAGAACACATAATAATACATGCAATATATAACATCACTGTATAATGTGTAATACATAACAATATCTGACAATCCCCACGATTTGCACTGGTTTTGCCCCTTTTATTTTTGTTTTTCTCCCCACTTTGCCCCTCGGAGCTTTGTTCTGAGCTGGAGGAGGCCGGCGTGGCCCCCTCACCTGTGACCCCTCGTGACTCCAGCGTGACCCCCCAGGAATCATCTGATAAAATCATTTGGTGTTCGCCTCGTGACCAACTGCCCCGAGCTCCCTTGGGGTTCCTTGTGCCTTTTAGGGACATTTATGGGGGACACCCTCACAGGGAGCTTCTCCCCCCCCTAATTGTGGCTGCAAAAGGTTGGGCCCCCAGCAAAACCTTCAATAAGGGAGGAGGAAAAAGACCCAAATCTGCCTCAAATAAACCCAGCAGCACAGAGGGTTCCTCAGCCAGGGCAGCAATTCCTGCTTTTCCTGGAGCATCTCAGGGGTCACTGGTGGTGCCTGCAGCATCTTCCCCCTCACCCCAAACCCCATCTCAGCCCCTTTTTTCCCATTTTTTAATTTTTCCCCCAGGAATGAGCTGCTCCTGCACCTCAAGACCTACAACATCTACTACGAGGGGCAGAACCTGCAGCTGCGGCACCGGGAGGTGAGAGAGGAGGGGACTGGGGGGCACAGCAGGGAATCCAGGGCTCCAACAGCTCCTCTGGGAACTCCAAATTTATATTATATATATGTAATATTTCTATTATAATTTTATATTTATATATATATATATATATGTAATTTGCATTCACATTATTATATATATATATATATATATATATATATATATATAAATTTTTACATGTAAATCTATAAATCTTTATATTATATATAAAATCCTTATATATATAAAATCTGCATTTGGATTTATATATATATATATATATAATCTTTATATTATATATGTAATTTGCATTCAAATGATATAGATATATAAATTTATATATATAAATTTACCATAGATAAAATATATATTTACAGTGCTTTATGTATCTAAAAGATTTAAATGATATCTATAAAATCTGCATTCAAATTATATGTACATATCTGAGTTTTTTAATATGATATGTAAACCTTTATATTATATATAAATGCTTATATTATATATATAAAATCCTTATATTCTATGTATAAAATCCTTATGTTGTACGCATAAAATCCTTATAGTCTACATATATAATCCATGTATTCTGTATATAAAATCCTTATAGTCTACATATAAAATCCTTATATTCTGTGTATAAAATCCTTATATTCTATGTATAAAATCTTTATATTCTATGTATAAAATCCTTATATTCTATGTATAAAATCCTCATATTCTACATATAAAATTCCCATGTTCTGTGTGTAAAATTCCCATGTTCTGTGTGTAAATTTCCCGTGTTCTGTGTGTAAATTTCCCATGTTCTGTGTGTAAAATTCCCGTGTTCTGTGTGTGAATGTGGCTGCAGGAGGAAGGGGAGCTGATCGTGGAGGGGCTGCTGAACATCTCGTGGGGGCTGCGCCGCCCCATCCGCCTGCAGATGCAGGACGACAACCAACGCATCCGCCCGCCACCCTCCTCCTCCTCCTGGCACTCGGGCTGCAACCTGGGCGCCCACGGGTGAGTGAGGGCAGAGACAGCCCCAAAGCACAGCCCTGAAAACACAGACCCAAAAACACAGATCCAAAAGTACAGACCTGAAAAATACAGACCCAAAAATACAGACCTGAAAAATACAGACCTACAAAACATGGCCCTGAAAAAACACAGCCCCCAAAATACACAGCCCCAAAAACGGGCAGGCAGCCCCCAAAAAACACAGCCCTGAAAAACACAGCCCTGAAAATACAGACCTAAAAAACACAGCCCCAAAAAACAGCCCTAAAAGACACAGCCCTAAAAATACAGACCTAAAAAACACAGCCTTGAAAAACACAGCCCCAATAAACACAGCCCCTAAAAAACACAGCCCCAAAAAACACAGCCCCAATAAACACAGCCCTAAAAGACACAGCCCTAAAAATACAGACCTAAAAAACACAGCCCCAAAAATACACAGCCCCAGAAATGGGCAGGCAGCCCCAAAAAACACAGACACAAAAATACACAGCTCCAAAACCTCACACAGACAACCCAAAACCATTGAGCCCCAAGACCGCACGGCCCCAAAAACCACAGAGACAGCCCCAAAACCGCACAAACAGCCCCAAAACCTCCCTCCAGCCTGTCAGGATGTACAGGTTGTACCCCTGGGCAAGGCACCCCAGGACAGAGACCCAGGACAGGCCACCCACCCCCTCTGTCCCCCCCAGGTCTGTGCTGAAGCCCAGCACCCTGCCGGACATCCAGGTGACAGATGTGGACGCTGCCGCCCGCACGGAGAATCCTGGGAATGGCACAGGTGAGCCGGGCTGGGATCCACCAGCATTGGATCCACCAGGATCAGTCCTGGGGCTCAGATCCACCAGCATTGGATCCAGCAGGATCAGTCCTGGGGCTCAGATCCACCAGCTTTGGATCCAGCAGGATTGGACTTGGATCCACCGGGATTGGATCCACTGGGATCGGTGCTGGGGCTCAAATCCACGGGGAGTAGTCCCAGGGCTTGGATCCACCGGGATTGGGTCCACCAGGATCAGTCCCAGGGCTCTGCTGGGGCTCAGGAGTGGTCCTGGGGCTCGGCCTGGGGTCAGTCCTACGGCTCAGATCCCCTGGGACTGAAGGTGTCGTGCAGCCCCCAGGGCGGCAGAGGAGGCCCCGCAGCTGATGAGGACCCGCAGCGACGTCGGCGTCCGGCCCCGCGGCAGCGCCCGCACGGCTGGGGAGCAGCGGCGGCTGCGGCGGCACCGCTTCTCCATCAACGGCCACTTCTACAACCACAAGGTGAGCCCGGGGGTCACCGTCAGCCCTCACGGGTGGGTTTGTGGTGGTGAGTGATCTCAGAGTGCAAAAAGAACCGTCATGGTACAGGGTGATGGTTCTGGGGTGATCTCAGAGTGCAAAAAGAACCGACACGGCACAGGGTGATGGTTTGTGAGGTGATCTCGGAGTGCAAAAAGAACCGTCATGGTACAGGGTGATGGTTCTGGGGTGATCTCAGAGTGCAAAAAGAACCGACACAGTACAAGGGGGTTTGCAGTGATAATCAGAACAAATGTACCTTTATTGAATAACTACAGCCAAATGTGTTGGGGAGGAACTGGGGGAAAAGGGGAAAAATAAGGAAAAGAGGGAGAAAGAAAGAAAGGTGTGTAGGTACCAAACGTAGAACGGTGGAGTCCTTTGGTGTCCAGCCGATGGAGTTCACCAGGTGACATCCAGGGAGATCTCAGGGGTGCAGCCCATCTGGACTCTAACTGTACTCTTTATTGGTGGAGGAAGGGGACGAATCTTGAAGCCGAATCAAAGGTAGCCTATTGTACTTTTGGGGGAAAGAATGGTGTTTAGAGAAGGGTGCACACAGCCCATGTTCTCAGCAGTGGGTGAGAACCATTGTCTTCATGGCCCACTGCTCATACCTGCAACACCCATCTGGCTTTGGTCAGCTTGCCTCCCCCACACCTCCCTGGGTCGGGGGCTTCAGTCCCAGTCCTTGGAAAGAGTGGGGAGGGGGCCTTTACACACAGGGCTTTCATGTCGTGGTTTTTGATGGAGAGGAGCCTTTTCACACAGGGCTTTCATGTCGTGGTTTTTGATGGAGAGGGGCCTTTTCACACAGGGCTTTCATGTCGTGGTTTTTGATGGAAGGGCTCCTTACATCTCAGTTTGTCTGTCATAAACAAGTGAGGGGGGTCTTCTGTGGGGAACCACCCAGAACTCAGGAGAAGCCCAGCCAGGCCGAGAGGTGGGACAGCTCCCAGGGCTCTCGTTGCCAAAGGAGGAAGGTGCCCCCTCCTTGTTTCCATGGGGCTCAGTGCAGCACACAGCAAACACCCCTGTAACAGCAGCTTAGCAATGTGCTGAGTCTCAGGGCCCTTGCTGTGTAACTTTCTCCAGCAGGGCCAGAGAGCCCAGAGATTTCAGGCGGGGTCTTTTCTTCAGTGGTCCCCAATGAGGATTGTGAGGCAAAAATGAGAGGAGCTTCGGACAGAGCCTCACACCGGGCTCCAGGGGGGCTCCAGGGGTCTGGGGGGTGCAGGGGGTCCTGGCAGGGCTCTCAGTGCCCGCTGTGCCCCGCAGACCTCGGTGTTCACGCCCGCCTACGGCTCCGTCACCAACGTCCGCATCAACAGCACCATGACCACGCCCCAGGTGCTCAAACTGCTGCTCAACAAATTCAAGGTATGGGCATCACCCCTCACTCAGTGCTCTGGGTGCTGCTTGTGTTGTGGATAAAATGAATTAAAATGTTTTATAGGTTATATGTATAATATCTGCATGCAGATTTTCTATCTATCTATCTATCTATCTATCTATCTATCTATCTATCTATCTATATCTATCTATATCTATCTATCTATCTATCTATCTATCTATCTATCTATCTATCCATATACATATATATATAAAGTATTATCTATTTGTATTCATATTTTAATATTTTTAGATTTTATTACTCTATATATCTATTTATATAGTTTATATTTATATTCATACTCATATAGTTTATAAATCTTTATATTAGATACATGTAATTTGCATTCAGATTATATAAATATGAATTTTAATATAAATCTTTATATTATATATAAAATATTTATATTACATGCGTAAAATCTGCATTCACATTATATATAATGTATATATGTATACATACACACACACATACACATATGTGTATATATATATATATAAATATAAAAATCTATACCATATATATATATATATAAATATAAATCTATATATCTATATATAGACTATACCAGGGCAGAACCTGTCCCTTTACCAGAGCTTTGTGTCTCCCCCCAGATCGAGAACTCAGCAGAGGAGTTTGCTCTGTACATGGTGCACACGAGCGGAGGTGAGTGCCCCAAATCCCCTGGCTGTGAGCGCCTCAAACCCCCAGATGGGAGTGCCCCAAATCCCCTGGCCAGGAGTGCCCCAAATCCCCTGGCTGTGAGTGCCCCAAACCCCCAGGCGGGAGTGCCCCAAATTATTTCAGACATGAGTGCCCCAAATCCCCTGGCCAGGAGTGCCCCAAATCCCCACGGTGCTGCCACTTCAGCCCTGGTGCTGCCCAGGCACTGCCAGTTCCACCCAGACACTGCCAGTACCACCCTGGCACTGCTCTGGCACTGCTGGTACCACCCTGGCAGTGCTGGTACCGCCCAGGCAGTGCTGGTACCACCCTGGCAGTGCCGGTACCTCATGGGCAGTGCCGGTACCACCCTGGTGGTGCCGGTACCACCCTGGCGGTGCCGGTACCACCCTGGCAGTGCCGGTACCACCCTGGCAGTGCCAGTACAACCCTGGCGGTGCCGGTACCACCCTGGCAGTGCTGGTACCACTCTGGCACTGCTGGCACCACCCTGGCAGTGCTGGTACCACCCTGGCAGTGCCGGTACCGCCCTGGCAGTGCCAGTACCACCCTGGCGGTGCCGGTACCGCCCTGGCAGTGCCGGTGCCCGTCCGGTGCCAAGGCCGTGGCTGTGCTGTCCCTGCAGAGAAGCAGCGCCTGCGCGGCAGCGATTTCCCGCTGCTGGCCCGCGTGCTGCAGGGCCCCTGCGAGCAGGTGTCCAAGGTGTTCCTCATGGAGAAGGACCAGGTGGAGGAGGTCACCTACGATGTGAGTGCGGCCCGGGGCTGCGGGGGGAGATCTGGGGTGTTTGGGGGTCGGGGCGTCACAGGTTTGGGTGGGGGGGACCCCAAATCCCAGCCAGGGCCACCCCTGCCATGGCAGGGACACCTCCCCTGTCCCAGGCGGCTCCAAGCCCTGCCCAGCCTGGCCTGGGGCACTGCCAGGGATCCTGGGATGGCTTTTGTGGGAATTCTGTGCCAGCCCCGCCTCGCCCCCACAGGGGAGGGTTTATCCCCAATGAACAGAGACACCCTGGGACTGCAGGAGCTGCTCTGTCCATGAAAACTCCTGATCCCCCAGGAAATTCCCCAGAGCATTCCCAGTGTGTTCCCAGTGTGTTCCCAGTGCATTCCCAGTGTGTTCCCAGTGTGTTCCCAGTGTGTTCCCAGTGCATTCCCAGTGTGTTCCCAGTGCATTCCCAGTGTGTTCCCAGTGCATTTCCAGTGCATTCCCAGTGTGTTCCCAGTGTGTTCCCAGTGTGTTCCCAGTGTGTTCCCAGTGTGTTCCCAGTGCATTCCCAGTGTGTTCCCAGTGTGTTCCCAGTGTGTTCCCAGTACATTCCCAGTGCATTCCCAGTGCATTCCCAGTGTGTTCCCAGTGAATTCCCAGTGTGTTCCCAGTGCATTCCCAGTGTGTTCCCAGTGCATTCCCAGCACATTCCCAGTACATTCCCAGTGCATTCCCAGTACATTCCCAGTGTGTTCCCAGTGCATTCCCAGAGCATTCCCAGTGTGTTCCCAGTACATTCCCGCACATTCCCAGTGCATTCCCAGTGCATTCCCAGTACATTCCCAGTGCATTCCCAGCCCTGCTGTGCCATCCCAGCCCTGCTCACAGAACAGGGATTTCCCAGGAATTGTTTTTCCCCCTGCTGGGAGCAGCTCCCTTGTGCCATCTGCCGGCTCTGCTCTGAAATCCCAAATCCCGCCCCAAACCCGGCACTTTTGGGGTGAATTTGGGGTTAAGCAGCTCTGAGGCTTTGACACTCAGACAGAGCCACCTCCAGCACCCAGTGGGTGAATCAAAATAAATAAATAAAATAAATAAACCTGAGACGGTTCTTTTTCCCATAATTACCCACTTGTTTGCACGAGCTGATGCTCACAAACATCATTTTTATTTTAGGGTTTGCTGCAAAATGCTGGGGTCTTTGGTGAAATCTGAGGAGATGCTGGGGGGGTGGGCGATTTCCTCCCCCTCTTCACCATCTCCTGCCGCTCCTCTCCCACCCAGGTCGCCCAGTACATCAAATTTGAGATGCCCATCCTCAGGAGCTTCATCCAGAAGCTGGAGGAGGAGGAGGACCGGGAAGTGAAGAAGCTGAAGCACAAGTACGCGGGGCTGGGGGGAAGAACATCCCAAAAAACCCCATCTGTGCATCCCTGGGATGCTCCAGCACTGGGATTTTCCCTGCCTGGTGATCCCTAAGTTTGGGGAAGCAGAGAGGGGGGGGAAATAGGAGGGGAAAATCTTCATTTTTGGGATTTTTGTGGGATTTGATTTCTGTGCCTCCCCAGGTACTCCATCCTGCGGCTGATGATCGAGCAGAGGCTGGAGGAGATCTGCGAGGGCCCCACGGCCATGTGAGCGTCCCTGGGATGTGCTGCACCAAATCCCAACCCCAAAACGCTCCTGGTGCCCGCCTGGACGGCCCCAGCCCCGAGCCAAACCCCCCTCCCAAACTCCATCCCCTCAAAATCCTCGGGGGGCTCCTCCCAGGAAGGCTCTGGATGGTGGCAGCTTCAGCCAAAACCTCAAATCCCTGCAAAACACAGGGAAAAAAAACAAAAAAAAAGAGAAAAAAAGAGGAAATCTCTGAGCAGCAGCAAGGAGAGGCTGCCAGGATTGCAGAGCTGGAATTTTGGGGGGCTCAGGTTGGAAATGCCCGCGTGGCTCCCTGGGAGGGTCCTGCTGCTCGGCAGCAACGGAGCACAGAAAAATTCCTCTTTTTGTTTCAGAGAAAAGCACATTCCTGCCCTATCACCGCAATAATTCCCCGGTGTTGGGAGGATTTTGTAAATCCCAGGGGTTGGCTGAGATTTTGGGGGGGTTTCACCCTGACCTGGGGGCTCATGGGTGCATTTCCAGCCCAGGAGAAAATCCCATTTTCCCCCCAAAGCTGCAGCCACGGCGTGGCCCCTCCGTCCCCCCTGTAATTTGCACTAATATTTCAGGATTTTGAAGAAAACCACAATGTCAAACCTCTCTGGTAGCTGTAAATGCCAAAAAACCACAAAAACAAACGGCAGAGGGCCTTGAGCATCTCGAGGGGTCTGGATGGGAAAGGGGGAGAGGCAGGAGGAGGGGGAGGCAGAAATAAAGAGGATTTTGTTTTCCAAATCCATTTTCTAGCCAGGAAATGATCCTGGTGAAACCAGGACAGCACCAGCTGGAAAAACCTCTTTCCTCCCAGGCTAAACCAGCAATACCCATTTCATACCTCGATGTGAATTAACCTCTGACTTTCTCCTCCCTTCCCTTTGAGTTTTTGCAATGCATCTTTGTAATATTTTTTTTTTAATTTTTAATTTTAATTTTAATGGTACCTTTTCCACCTTTAACTCACGTTGGGGAAAGTGTTGTACAGCGAGAGGAGCTTTGGATGTGTTTGAAGGATGATTGTGGCACTGCTGCGTGGATTAACAAGGAAATAAAATAAAATAAAATGAAATAAAATAAAATAAAATATGTAGCAACTTCATGCAGAATGAAACCCCCTGAGTCAGAGCCTGGCTTTGTCCAAAAGAAATCACTTTTTGTGGATAGAAATGAGTAAAAAATGAGAGTAAATCCTGAATCCTCTGCCTGAGTGCCAGTGGAGGAGTTCCCCAAGGAGAAATGTTCTCACCTTCCAGATTTACAGATTCCCACCTCAATTTCTGGTGGATTTTTTGGGGAATACTGGGCTGGTTTAAGGTGTGGCTTGTCCAGAATGAATCCCTTTTTGTGGATAGAAATGCCATGGAAATGGGTAAAAAATGGGATGATAGAAAAGAGTCAAATCCCAAGGGAGAAGTTCCCCAAGGAGAAGCGCTCCCACTTTCTAGATTTAAACTCCCACCTGAATTTCTGGAGGATTTTTGGGGAACCCTGGGCGGGTTTAAGGTGTGGCTTGTCCAGAATAAATCCCTTTTTGTGGCTAGAAATGCCATGGAAATGAGTAAAAAATGGGATGATAGAAAAGAGTCAAATCCCAAGGGAGAAGTTCCCCAAGGAGAAGCGCTCCCACTTTCCAGATTTAAACTCCCACCTGAATTTCTGGCGGATTTTTGGGGAATATTGGGCAGGTTTAGGTTTTACCCAGCCCTTAGGGACTACCCATGGAAATTATTTAAAGAATAAGATGAGGGAAAAGAGTCAAATCCCAGCGGAGGAGCTCCCCAGAGCTGTCACCTCCCGGATTTAAACTCCCACCTGAATTTCTGGTGGATTTTTTGGGGAATACTGGGCTGGTTTAAGGTGTGGCTTGTCCAGAATGAATCCCTTTTTGTGGATAGAAATGCCATGGAAATGAGAATAAAATGGGATGATAGAAAAGAGTCAAATCCCAGCGGAGGAGCTCCCCAGAGCTGTCACCTCCCGGATTTAAACTCCGCCTGAATTCCCGGCGGATTTTTGGGGAACCCTGGGCAGGTTTGGGTTTTACCCAGCCCTCAGGAATTACCCATCCCCAGGGATAATTTACCCCTGCGGGTATTTCGCTCCCAGCAGGTCAAACCCGCGGTTTTTGGGCCTCCTGGAAGCCGCACCGGGGCTGTCCCGAGCCCTCCCCGGCCGGGGGCAGGACCGGCCCCGATCCTGCGGGAAAAGCCCAGCCCAGCCCGGCAGGGCAGAGCCAGCGGGGCCCGGCCACGGGTAAGGGCAGCACCTCGCATTTCTGGGCTGAAAACACAAGGAATTGGGTGTACGAATAGCAAAAAAATAATAATAATAATTGGGATTTGTTTGGCACAAAGCTGAGCTGGAGGCTGGGATGGGGAGAGCAGCACTGGGATGCTCCAGCTCTTGGGTTTTCCCTGGCTGACCCCTAAGTTTGGGGAAGTCTAGGGGGGAAAAATAGGAGGGGAAAATTCCTCATTTGGGGATTTTTTTGTGGGATTTGCCCCCCGGTTTTGTGCTGTCTGTGCCAACAGCTGGAAGGGGGAACACTCCTCAGCGCTTTCTTTAAAACAACCCCAAAAGCCGAAGGAGCGGGGCAGGAAAACGAGGCAAATTCAATTGAATTGAATCAATTTCCATTTTTTTGAAGGTGCGGGGTTGGAAGGGGCGGGGGGGCCAGGCCTGGCAGGTTCCAGCGGGGCGGGAATCGCTGACACAGCGGGGCCAGGGGGGCTCTGTTTGTCCAAACGCTTTTGTCAGCGCGGCCGCGGCTCTTCTGGGGCTGCTCCGGGGCCAGCGATGGCTCAGCAGCTTCGGCACAATGGGGATGTGTTTGCTCAGCCCCGGGGGAGGGGGACAGGGGGGACCTCGTCCCCTTCCCGCGGCGCTTTGGGGATTTTTGGGGTGGTTTGGCCCGCGGTGCCCGCGCTCGCTGCTTGGTGGAAGAGTGGAATGAGGTAAAAATGTAAAATAATGAGTTAAATTATGGAATTGTGGAATGGGGTGGGTGGGGAGGGGCCTTAAAGATCAGCCAGGTCAACCCCTTGTTATGGGGAGGGAAATCTGCCACTGGAATGCATTGACTACGTATCAATATAATATATAAAAACAGGTATAATTACATTAAAGATAATAAAAGTATGCCACAATTATTAATATCACAATTTTAATAATATAGAATAAAATAATACAATGCTTATTAATATAACAATATAATAGTGTATAAAATAACAATATAATTGTATTTAAAATAATGCAATACTTAATAATATAATAATATAATAATATATTATAATATTATCTATACACAACATTCTCTATTATTATGTATTAACGGTCTCTATTAGAAATCATTGGTTATTGATCACATATTGTTATATATTCTGTACTAATCTATAATACGTAGTAACCTGGACAATAAATGAATATATAAATCATAAAATAGAGATAATATAGAGACGTATAGAGATAATATAAAGAGATATAGAGAGATAATATAGAGAGATAAATAGAGATCGTATAGAGACAAATAGAGACAGGTAATTAGAGATAACATAGAGATAAATAGAGACAATATAGAGAGATTTATAGAGATAATATAGAGATAAATAGAGACAGTATATAGAGAGATGTATAGAGATAATATAGAGATAAATAGAGACAATATAGAGAGATGTATAGAGATAATATAGAGATAAATAGAGACAATATAGAGAGATGTATAGAGATAATATAGAGATAAATAGAGACAGTATATAGAGAGATGTATAGAGATAATATAGAGGTAAATAGAGACAGTATATAGAGAGATGTATAGAGATAATATAGAGATAAATAGAGATAATATAGAGAGCTTTATGGAGATAATATAGAGATAAATAGAGACAGTATATAGAGATAGAAGCCACTGAGGTTAGCTTGGTGCTAATAACACCAAGTTTGGGGCTTTGCCACTCAAAGAACCCCAGGCTCACAGAATGGTTGGGAAAGCCTCACAAGGGTTGGAAAAGGCCTTTGATGTCACCAAGCCCCACCAGTGACCCCCCACCACCCAAGCCACCAAAGACCCGCTCCCCATCCTTGGGCTTCAGAGGGAGAAAAGAGAAAAACCCCCCAAAGGCGCAAGATCCCCGCTCCTTTGGGGAGTGCGGCCCCGCTCTCACCGCCCCTTATCCCGCAGGTGCCGCAGGATGCGGCCCCCGGACCGCGCCCGCTGCTGGGCGCTGCTGCTGCTGCTGCTGCTGGCCCTGCTCAGCCCCGCCGCCGGCGGCCGCCGCGGGGCCCCCGGCAGGAGCTCCGGGCCCGGGGGGCTCCGCGGGGGCTTCCGCGCCGTGTCCCGCGCCGGGAGCGCCCCGGGCCGCGGCTCCAGGGTGGCCGGAGCCATCGCGGCAGGAGCGGCCGCGGGCTACGGGATGGGGCTGCTGGGGCGGCCGCGGCCGGCCCGCCTGGGTCACGGCGCCCCGGCCGCGCGGGGGCCGCCGGCTGCGGGCGGGTTCCACGCCGGGGGCTGGCCCGAGCCGGGGGCAAAGCGCGGAGCCCCCAGCGGAGGCCCCGGGCGGCGGCGAGCCGGGCTCGGGCTCGTCCTGCTGCTGGCATCGGGAGCCTGCCTGGTGAGCCGCGGGCTGCAGCGCTGAGGGCACCCCCGGCACCCCCGGGCGGCGCTTCGGACACAAGGGACTTTCAAAGGGACTTTCAAGGGACTTTCCTGGGAGATTGGATGTGGCTTGGGGAGGTGGGAGAGGCGCTCCTGGCCGGCGGCCGGAGCTGGGGGCGCACCGGGAGCCGGAGCCTGGGAGACTCGGCCGGGACCGGAGAGATTCTGAGAATCCAGCCGGGATCAAGTGGATCCTCCAATTCCACTCGGGAGCGGATGGATCCTCCGAGCCCACCTGGGACTGGATGGATCCTGCAAATCCACTCGAAACCAGATGGATCCTGCAAACCCCACCCAGGATCGGGTGGATCCCCCAAACCCACCCGGGACCGGAGAGATCCTGCGAACCCATCCGGGACAGGACCCGTGTGATCAAGGGCAGCCCTGCCAGGACCTCGGCCCCCGCAGCCATCCCCGCTGCACGGCTCCCCCAAAAACGGCTCCTTTCTCCCCAAAAGAGCGCTGGGACTCGCGGGGAGGGGCGTGTGGGGCTGGCCTCAGCCTCGCAATAAAGTTTGGCCTTGAGACATCCTCTGATTTTAACCCAATCCATCGTTCCTAGCGCTGGGATGTGTCACCGGGTTCACAGGGGTTCCTGGATGAGGGAAGAGATGAAGGATCTGACTCCATGTTCCAGAAGGCTTGAGCTATTATTTTATGATATATATTACATTAGAAGTATAGTAAGTATACTAAAAAAGTATACTAAAAACTATACTAAAATAATAGAAGAAAGGATTTCATCAGAAGGCTGGCTAAGAATAGAATAGAATAGAATAGAATAGAATAGAATAGAATAGAATAGAATAGAATAGAATAGAATAGAATAGAATAGAATGATAACAAAGGTTTGTGGCTCGGACAGAGAACCCGAGCCAGCTGGGCTGTGATTGGCCATTAATTACAAACAATTCCATGAGGCCAATCCCAGCTCCACCTGTTGCATTCCACAGCAGCAGATAATCAATTTTTACATTTTGTTCCTGAGGCCTCTCGGCTTCTCAGGAGGAAAAATCCTAAAGAAAGGATTTTCCATAAAAGATGCCTGTGACAGGGATGGGACTCCCTGAGGGGGGATGCGCTTCCCCAGGTGGGTGGAGAAGCCGAATCCAGGCATTTCCCAGCAGCACAAAGCTCAGCCGGGGTTTGGAGCGGTTTTTTTGGCTATTCAGCCCAAATTCAGCCGTGGAAAGCCAAGCCCGGAGCTGCAGCCGGGCTCGGACGGGAGATGGAGCTGTTGGCCCGGGATAAAACCAGCCCGAGCTCCGAGCTCCGGGCTCCTCTAAACCAGGCTGCTCCTCCTCCGCTCTCTGCAAACCAAATTTGGGCAGCTGTGCACCAAAATTCCTCTTTTTACGGCTTTTTCCAGGCAGGAAAAATGTATTCAGCCGGTCTGACTGGGTGGGGGGTGTTTATTTGGGGAGATGGAGGTGCCAGGAACTGTGTGAGGAGAGATTTGGAGAAAACTCTGAAAAAAACCACATCAGGTTTCATTGTATTTACACTTTGGGGGAATATTTACACTTTGGGGGGGTATTTGCATTATGGGGGGTATTTACACTTTAGAGGAATATTTAAACTTTTTTGGGGGGTATTTACACTTTGGGCTGTATTTACATTTTGGGCTGTATTTACACTTTGGGCTGTATTTCTTGCCATCCTGGTAAATCAGAAACTCCTCCATGCGTGGCTCCTGTGCACGCCGCAGGATTTGGAGTGTTTAGCTCATTAATTAATTAATTAATTAATTTCTTTGCTTCAGCAGATCACTGCAGAGGGGTAATTTGATCTAGCTGTCCTTAAAGGACACAAGAGTTCAGGGTGTCACCCCACTCGGGTGTTGCCAGAGCCAGGAAAGTTCTGACCTTCCAAAAATCACCCCAAACCCCCAGGGAGGGTTAAAAACCAGGGTGCTGCGTGTGCAGGGAGGGGGAAATGTTATTTTTGAGCTCCTCTGAGCATTGCCAATGTGTTTCCCGTGATTGGGAGGGAGGGAATTGGAGGTTTTGGGGTTAAAAATGAGAAATTTGTAATTCTGCTGCTGTTGCTGAGGTCAAACCCTCCCCAGGGGAGTTCAGCAAGTTCTGGGAGCCTCTTCCTGGAAATATCCATGAGTTCATCTCAGGAAATGGGGGGGTTTTAAATTAATTCTTTTTTTCCTTTCCTTTAGATGAGGTGAAGTTTTTTCCTTCCTGATTCGGGGGGGATTTCTCCTCTTCCCGCGGGGCTGTTGGAGGAGGGGCCCTGCGGTTGTGAAATGCAAATAAATGGAAATTAATCCCATTGAGGCCGATTTGCACCGAGCCTGGGCCGAGCCCCAGCGAGGGCAGCGGCTCCGGGGGGTTCGGCTCAGGTGAGACCTCACCTGGAGGGGCTGGGAGCCCACCTGGAGGGGCTGGAGCGGCTGGGGCGAGCCCTGAGGGGCTGGAGCCGGGCTGGGAGGGCTGGGAATGCTCCCCTGGAGAAGGGAATGACCCAAGGAGGGCTGGGAATGTTCCCCTGGAGAAGAGAATGACCCAGGGAGGGCTGGGAATGTGCCCCTGGAGAAGGGAAGGATTCAAGGAGAGCTGGGAATGTTCACCTGGAGAAGGGAATGACCCAAGGAGGGCTGGGAATGCTCCCCTGGAGAAGGGAAGGATCCAGGGAGGGCTGGCAATGTTCACCTGGAGAAGGGAAGGACCCAGGGAGGGCTGGGAATGCTCACCTGGAGAAGGGAATGACCCAGGGAGGGCTGGGAATGCTCACCTGGAGAAGGGAAGGATTCAAGGAGGGCTGGGAATGTTCCCCTGGAGAAGGGAATGACCCAAGGAGGGCTGGGAATGCTCACCTGGAGAAGGGAATGACCCAAAGAGGGCTGGGAATGTTCCCCTGGAGAAGGGAATGACCCAAGGAGGGCTGGGAATGTTCCCCTGGAGAAGGGAAGGACCCAGGGAGGGCTGGGAATGCTCACCTGGAGAAGGGAATGACCCAAAGAGGGCTGGGAATGTTCCCCTGGAGAAGGGAAGGATCCAGGGAGAGCTTCCAGCACATTCCAGGCCTTGAAGGGGCTCCAGGAGAGCTGGGGAGGGATTTGGGATAAGGGATGGAGGCACAGGACACAGGGAATGGCTTCCCACTGGGAAAGGGGAGATCTAAGTGGGGTTTTGGGATGGAATTCCCAGAGGAGCGGTGGCTGCTCCATCCCTGGCAGTGCCCAGGGCCAGGCCCGAGCACCTGGGACAGGGGGAATTGTCCCTGCCGGGGCAGGGGTGGCACTGGAGGGGATTTAAGGTCCCTCCCAACCCAAAGCACTCCAGGATTCCATGATAAAGTCTCCAGGATGAAGCAGGGCTTGGGTCGGGCTCAACGCCACCGAAACAGCAAATGTAAAAACTCCTTTATTAGAACAGAACCCGGAATGAGACAGAAATCAGAAAACTCCCCTTGGACTGCAGCAATGCCATGGGTGGGAGCAGGGCCTGAGGAGAAAAGGTTAACGGGGAATGTGGGGTTTGGGCCAAATTTGGGGGCTGGAAGGGAACAAAAGCTCCCTCAGGCCGGGGAGGGAGGATGGGAGGGCGGAAATGCAGGAAATGCAGAAATGCGGGAAATGCCCGGGGCCGGGGCCGGCACACAAAGGAGGCTCTCGGGCACCTTGGCTTGATCCGTTTTAATTTGTACCAGACGTGGAACACTTCGAAAAGGCTCAGCACGGCAAATCCCGGGCATGCAGCGTGACGGGGTTACAAAACATCCGCGGGGTTACAAAACATCCGCGTGTCGCAAAGTGCGCGGCACCTCCAAGCCCTGCCTTGGCTGTCCTGAAAGGTCTCTCTGCTCTCTGTTTATAGGTATTCATATATAATATATATATATCTCCACTTAGCTTACACCGATGCAAAAAGGAAAAAAAAAATTTAAAAAAAAGATCTCATTTAGGACAGTGTTATTCAGTGCCTTGCAAAAATAAAATTACACGAGGGATATTGAACGCAGCGCCACGGGTGTTACAGCTCGTCCCCAGCCCAGCATCCACACGAGAATCAAGAATTTCACCCGTTGCTTCCGCAGGGCAAAGGAATTACTCACAAAAGTTACTTTTTTTTAAAGCCTCTCCCTTTCCCAGGCCCGTTTTTCCCGATGCTGTCGCTGTACCGGCGCGGTTCAGCTGCTTTCAGTCTCTTGCTACGTGCCTGACCCCCCTGAGAACCCTTTGTGCTGCATTTTAACGTCCCTTAGGCCCAGGTGCTGCAGCATGAACACGACTTGTCACCTGGAGCACCCAGAGTAGCTTTTTCTGGGGCTGTAACAACATTTTGGGGGTGTTTGGGGCATTCAGCAGCACTTTCTGCCTCTAAACACCGACTGGTGCCTCAGCCTCGCTGTGACAGGGAGTAAAAAATTACTTTATTTTGGTGTCTTGCTGCAGGGGGTTTTTGCAGCATGCAGGGTGTGGAGTGGCAGCTCCTTATGTACATGGGGAAGGGGCTTTTTTTATTTTAGGATGGGAGGGTTCAAATTGCAACCTGGCAGCTTGAAAACCCCAGGGGTGCCCCAGGGAATGGGGGTGACGGGGGCTGAGACAAATCCCTGCCTGTTAACAAAGAGGATTTTTGGAACAGCTCCTGCAGGGACGCCAAGGAGACCTCCCCACTGCCTGGTCCCTCTCGGGGTGACCCCGAGGAGGAGGAGGAGGCGAAGGCCGCAGTTTTGGGCTCCGGCGCCATCCCGGAGCTCTTTTTGGGGCAGAAAAGGACGTTTTCATCCCATTGCCTAACCCTGAGGCACCGCGGATCGCCCCGGGGGGCTCCTCACCGAAACCAAGCGAGACCGGGGTGGGCGTGGGGACCCCACAGGGGACACCTGGATGGCGTGGGGCGCCCTAGTGCAGGACGACGAGGACGAGGAGCATCAGGGTGGCCAGCGGGGACTCGGCCAGGCGCTGCCACGCGCCCGAGGCCAGCCGGTACTCCTGGTACTGCTGGATGCACATCTCGCGGATCACCTTGGTCACCACGCGCGTCTCCAGCTCCGCCTCCGTCTGGTTGAGGGCGTCCGAGGCGTTGCCCTTCCTGGCGGCGGGGCCGATGTTGTGCTCGGTGACGGTGATGTTGAAGCAGTCGGCCACGAAGACGTCCTGGGGCACGGGGGCGCCGCGGTAGTCGCGGTAGTAGACCTGGTTGGGGTAGCGCGCGGCGTTCTCGTTCCACCAGCGGTACTCGTCGGGGCTGTCGAAGCGGTAGTGCATGCCCGACATCACCCTGCCCATGGCGTAGCCCCCCAGGCCCCCCACCACGGCGCCCGCCGCCGCCGCGCCCGCCACGTGCTTGAAGTTGGTCTTGGGTTTGGGCGCCTTCCAGGGCTTTTGGTGGTAAGTCCCTCCGCTGGATGGGTTGTAGCCTTGGCCCCAGCCCGGGTAGCCGGGGTTGTGGGGGTAGCCGGGGTTGTGCGGGTAGCCCGGGTTGTGCGGGTAGCCGGGGTTGTGCGGGTAGCCGGGGTTCTGGGGGTAGCTGGGCTGGCGGGGGTAGCTGGGCTGGCGGCCGCCCCCACCCCAGCCGGGTTTGCCTTTGCCCTTCTTGGAGGAGGCGACGTCGGCGCAGAGGCCCAGGAGCAGCAGCAGCAGCAGCAGGCAGGAGGGGCCGAGGAGCCGGGCCATGGCTGTGGGGACAAGGACACAGTCAGGGCAGGGCCACACCCCCGACCCCGGGTCACAAAAACCACCCTGGTCCCCTCAAATCCAGCGGCAGAATGAACAGAATTGGACTAAAGCTATTCATCATCCCCCCCAACCCTTCATTTATACCTAAATGTAAAATATTTTCTATATTTTTATACATATATGTGTGTATTTATATATATATGTACTTTTATGTGTATATATATGTATTTTATATATGTATATATATGTATTTTATATATGTATATATATGCATTTTATAGATATATGTATTTATAGATATATGTATTTTATATATGTATATATATGCATTTTATATATATGTGTATTTATGGATATATGTATTTTATATATGTATATATAAAAATTATTCATTGTTGTATCTATATATTTTAATTATTTAATTATTTAATTAATTATATTTAATTATTTAATTTTATTTATATTTATTATTATTGTGTTATATATGCTTATTTTATTTATATCTATTTTATAGATGCATATATAGGTATATATGTATATATTTTTATATACTTATTTTAAATATATTTATATACATATTTATATATGTATATACATGTATTTATATTTTTAATATAGGTATATAAATATATGTATCTACATTTATTTATCGATTATATATAATATATAAAAATATATGTGTTTATATATATATATTATATATATATATATATATATTTTTTTTTTTTTTTTTTTTTTTTTTAATATATCGCCCACCGGGCCCCTGCTGGCAATGGCATCTTTAAGTGGTGAAAGAAAAGCTTTTCTAAGAAAAGGCTTCACCCGATTTTGATTTAAAACCCCGCTTATCAAAGCCGCCCTACCCAGTCTGGGGGCAGAAATGAGGTCCCTGCTGTGCCCCCATCGATGCCAGGGACGGATCCAGCCCAGCCCCGGAGCTTTTGGGCACTCAGTGGTGCTGCAGGGAAGGCAACGCCCAGCCTGGCCCCAGGGGGTTCTTTTCCCAAATTCTGCGTGTTTTACCCAAATTCCCGTCAATTAATGGGTATTTTTGGGATTCAGAGATTGCCAGCATCCAGTGACTCAGTGAATGCCAGTTTGCTGCTGGCACTCCGGGCATCTCCCACACTGCCTGGGGGAAAAATCCCATTTCCAGGGGGAATAAATCCCATTTCCCCATTTCCAGGGGGGATAAATCCCATTTCCCCATTTCCAGGGGGGATAAATCCCATTTCCTCCATTTCCAGGGGGCATAAATCCCATTTCCCCATTTCCAGGGGGGATAAATCCCATTTCCACCCTGTGCGCATAATCCGGCCGGGACAAGGGGCAATCCCCACCGGGGCTGCAAATCCTTTGGAAAACACCTCAAAGACCAAAAAAAAACCAAAAAGGCCAAGCTGCCAAAACCCTTTAATGCCTCCTGGCAACTCCAAGGGCTCTGAGTCACTGCTGCCGTGGGTTTAATGATAAAAAAGGGATTTTCCATCCTGCCCGAGGCTGAGCTGCCCCCCAGAATCTGCCCTCGCTGCTGGGGAGGGTGAGAGGAGCATCCTCAGTGTGGGTGGGTGTTTCAGCATCCCTGCATACAGCCAGAAATAATTCAGTTTGGGTCCCAAATTTATTTTTTTTGCAGCAATTCTGGAGTTACCCCAGGAATAATCATAACACAGGCAGGAGATGCTGAACTTTCCTACAGCCAAAAAGGCCAAACGAGCCCCTGTTCAAGCCCAGGAATTCTCCTGTTGCCACCTGCACACGGATTTGTGGGCCACAAAAAGCAAATTCATCTCTCTGGGTTGGTTAGTGATGATTTTCTGCCAAAAAATCTGGGTTTATGCCCAGAAGTGTTTGAAGTAAAGGCCCTTCAAGCTCAGTGGTTTGGGTGGGATCGTTGGCAAGGCCCTGAATAAAAGCTCGAGAGGATGCACAGATCTGTCCCTGCTGGTGGGCAGGAATCCCAGGTTTGGGATTTGGATTTGCTCGTCCCTGGTGATGGGCAGCAATTCCAGGTTTGGGATTTGCAATCCCAGGTTTGGGATTTGCAGTCCCAGGTTTGGGATTTGGATTTGCTCATCCCTGGTGATGGGCAGCAGTTCCAGGTTTGGGATTTGCTCATCCCAGGTTTGGGATTTGCAGTTCCAGGTTTGGGATTTGCAATCCCAGGTTTGGGATTTGGATTTGCTCATCCCTGGTGATGGGCAGCAGTTCCAGGTTTGGGATTTGCAGTCCCAGGTTTGGGATTTGCAGTCCCAGGTTTGGGATTTGCAATCCCAGGTTTGGGATTTGCAGTTCCAGGTTTGGGATTTGGATTTGCTCGTCCCTGGTGATGGGCAGCAGTTCCAGGTTTGGGATTTGCAGTTTCAGGTTTGGGATTTGCAATCCCAGGTTTGGGATTTGCAGTCCCAGGTTTGGGATTTGCAATCCCAGGTTTGGGATTTGGATTTGCTCGTCCCTGGTGATGGGCAGCAGTTCCAGGTTTGGGATTTCCAATCCCAGGTTTGGGATTTGGATTTGCTCGTCCCTGGTGATGGGCAGCAGTTCCAGGTTTGGGATTTGCAGTCCCAGGTTTGGGATTTGCAGTTCCAGGTTTGGGATTTGCAGTCCCAGGTTTGGGATTTGCTCCTCCATGGAAAAACCCGGGCTCCAGGGGCAGGTTGGGGCTCGCTGCCTCCCTCGCCCTGCAGCACCCACCCGCTGGGGGCAGGGATGAGATCAGGGGGGTTAAAAATAGCCAAAAGGCAGGAAAAACAACCAGCTCCTTGGGTGCCCGGCAAAATGAGCGGTGGAGGAGGAAAATCCAGTCAATTGAGCATTTTTAAATCTATTTCTGGAGGCGTCGCCGCTCCCCGCTGCGAGCTCCGAGGGGTTAAAAATCAGGCCCTGGTTGAATTAAAAATTAAAAATCCTGGTTGGAGAGGGGTTCTGGCAAAGCACTGCCGTGGTTTTATTGAGGAAATCGCGGGGTCTGGGGCTGGCTCAGGGATCCTGGGATATTGCAGCGCCTGGCAGCGCTGAGCTGCTCCCCTAATTGCCGTCACAGCGCTGATAAACAGGATCCGGCGCTAATTAGCGAGCCAGGAGCTTCGCCCCAAACAAACGAGTTCCCTGGCCAAATCCCTGAAGGAGCCGCTCCCTGAGAATCCGGGGTTTTCTCCCAGAAAAATCCCAGATTTCTCTAGGAGAAGAAAAACCCGGAGCCGGGATCTCTCTGCTGGGAAATTCTATTTATGGCCTGGCCATGACATTAATATTAAATTACAGAGCGAGTGATTTCACGGGGATTTTTTTTTTTTTTTAACCTTTCTGCCCCAGATTCGCCCTCCCGGCGGATGCTGGAAATGACGAATTAATTCAGGTGGTTTGTGGCGGAGCCGATTTTTATCCGTGCCGGAGGAACCCAGCGGAAAATGGAGGCTGCAAGCAGCAATTACGTGCTCGGCGTTGGCAAGGAGGAGGATTCGCTTCGGAGGGGAAAAAAACCCAACACCCAGGTGCCAAAATACGCCTGGAAATAACCTTGGGAAGGTCCCCGGGGAGGCGGAGGAGGAGAGGAGGGAGGTGGGGAAGGTGGAGGTTGGGAAGATGCTCGGGGATGGGGGAGTCCGGACCCTCCTGGGCTGAAAATTCCGGCCTGGGGCTCAGGAAATTGGGAATTAAATCGGAATTTCCCCGAAAATGTCACCCCTGGGTTTAGAAATCTGCCCTTCACCCCTTTGTCTTTCACTTTGCCCAGCAATGGGGGAGCAGCTGGCGGCCGGGGGAAGAGGCAAAACCCTCGGAGGAGAAATTCCCGCTGTTGAGTAAACGCTGAGTAAACAAGAGCCGGGCAGGAGCAGGGCGCTGGCTTTTAAGGAGCCGCTGGAAATGTCAATTTTTCATCAGGAAAAGAGGCAGCCCCGCACCCGCGGCGTTCCAACCCCCCTGGCCGGCGGGTTTCTCCCTCCCGCATCCCCTCCATCCCCTTTTGCCCGGCACTCACCGCCTGGAAATTCGCTGCCCGCTCGCTCCGCGGTGATTCAGCCGCGCAGCTCCGCGCAGGAATAAATAGCGAGAGGGAGGAGCTGCTCCAGAGCGGCCCGGCCCCGCGGAGCCCTCACCCATCATCATCGTCATCCTTCATCCTTCATCCGTCATCCGTCCCCGGGGAAAGCCCCGGCCGGCTCCCCGAAATCCGCGCCCCAAAGCATCCCCCGGGCACGGGCAGCGAGCAAAGGAGAGCCCGGAAAATCGCGGGGTTCCCGTGCTTTGACTGGAGAATTATCGGGGTTTGGGGCTGGTTGTAGAATCGTGGAATACTGCAGCAGTTGGGTTTTGAACTGAGGAGATATCAGGGCTTGGGGCTGATTTCAGAATCCTGGAAAACTGCAGCCCGTGGATGGGTTTATGGAAGAATGATCAGGTTTTCAGGCTGGTTATAAAATCTTGGAATACTGAAGAACACAGATGGTTTTACTGAAGAAATGTCAGGGTTTGGGACTGATTTAAAAATCTGGGAAACTGCAGCACAAGGATGGTTTTATTGAAGAAATATCAGGATTTGAGGCTGGTGACAAAAATCTGGGAAACTGCAGTACATGGATGGTTTTATTTGAAGAATTATCAGGGTTTGAGGCTGGTGATACAGCCTTGGAATATTGCAGTAGTTGGACTTTATACTGAGGAAGTATCAGGGCTTGGGACTGATTTTAAAATCCGGGAAACTGCAGAACACGGATGGTTTTATGGAAGAATTATCAGGGTTTGAGGCTGGTGATAAAATTCTGGAAAACTGCAGCACAAGGATGGTTTTATTGAAGAATTATCAGGGTTTGGGGCTGGTGATAAAATCTTGGAATATTGCAGCATTTGGAGTTTATACTGAAGAAATATCAGGGCTTGGGGCTGGTTTAAAAATCCTGGGAAATCACAGCACCTGGATGATTTTATTGAAGAATTTTCAGGGTTTGAGGCCGATTTGAAAATCCTGGAATATCCCAGCATTTGGATTTTGTACTGAAGGGATATCAAGGCTTGGAAAATCTTGGGAAATTGCAGCCTCTTGGTGCTTTATTGAAGAAATACCGCACGGAATGAGGAGGTTTGGGGCCATTTTGGGAATCTTGGAAAATCACAACACTTGGATTTTTTCAGTGGAAGAAGCTCCAGGGTTTGGGGTGGGTTGGAAATCTCCTGGCTGGGAACCTGGGAGAGGCCAGGATGCTTTTAGCAGCTCCAAATCCGTTATTCCATGGGGCAGAGCTGCTCCCAGGGCTGGCAGAGAGGAAACCAAACCAGCCCAGAGCTCTGGGAAAAAGGATGAATTTGCCTCTCAAACCTGTGTCCAAGCAGGGCAGCAGAACTCACTCCTGCAATCTCAATTTGTGTCGAGGAATCCTGAAATTCAACGGGAGGAAATGCCACAGAAAACAGCTAAAAATCCCATGGGATGGCAAAAATGGGGTTTTTTTGGAGGGCAAGGATACAGGGGTGGAATATACGGAGACGAGAATGGGGGAGTTTCCCAATTTTTAGAGTTTTCCCAACTCAATTTTTAGAGTGTTCCCAACTCAATTTTTAGAGTTTTCCCAACTCAATTTTTAGAGTTTTCCCAACTTTTAGGGTTTCCCAGGGCCAGCTTGGAGCACCCTGGGACAATGGGAGATGTCCCTGCCACGGGTGATTTTTAAGGTCCCTTCCAACCCAAATTCCAGGATTTTATGATTTTAACACACCCCAAACCCTCCTGAGGCTGCCCAGAACAGCTGGGCCAGGAATGGCCCATCCTGGGCCACATCTGGATGGAAAAGGGATTTTCCTGTGCTCCATCTGGGTTGTGTTGAAATAAATTGAAGTGGTTTCTCCCTGGCAGGGAAATGGGAAAACACAAATGGTTAATCCAGCCAGGAGAAAATGAAATGAGCAGGATTGAGGCCTGTGGGCCTGGGGAAGCCCTGCCCTGCAGGAGGAATTTATTCTGTGTGTGGAATGGCTCCTGACTGCCTGGTTTGGGTTGAAATATTCATCCAAATTCCGTGCCAGGAAAAGGAAGAAACCAGGAGTGGGTTGGTTGGGGTGAGTTAATCCTGCATTAATCCAAAAAACCAGGGTTTTACTGCAGTAACTTATTCCAGGAGAGCAACAACAACAACAACAAGGGAAAATTATTTATCCTGAAAAGAACATTGACTGAAAGCAGTGCTGAAAAAGAAACCTTTTCCTTTTTTTTTTTTTTTTCAAGAAACAGAAATTCCATTTGCAGAAGCAGAGCTGGGAGCTGCACATCAATCAGCAGCAGGGATCATTAATGAATTTTTAATTCCTTGTGGAAGTCGTCAGGGCTGAAGCCTCCCCACCACTGTACCCAGGGCAGATCTTTAATGGGTTTTTGGCATCCCAGGGTAAAATTTCTCTCAGCCTCGAGGCAGGAGCTGCAGTTCCTCAGGATCCACATGGAAATGATGGCCCAGGCCCTGAGCCAGCTCAGCAATCGCTCATGGGATGAGTTTTGCTCAGGAAATGCTGACTGTGGTTCTGGGGAGGGAGGAAAGTTCATCTCCTCCATGGCCTCTCATTGATTTTGGGTTGGCTTTTATGGCTTGGGTTCATTGAAGGTGCTTTTATTCAGCCAGCCCTGGCTTTGCAGAGGCTGGGTGGATGTTTAACCCACTGGGTTAAATATGTTAAATAAAATGTTCATTTATTTGGGTTAAAATGTTCATTTTTTTGGGGTTAAAATGTTCATTTATTGGGGTTAAAATGTTCATTTTTTGGGGTTAAAATGTTCATTTTTGGGGTTAAAATGTCCATTCATGGGGTTATAAATGTTCATCCATTGAGGTTCAAAATGTTCATTTATTGGGGTTTAAATGTTCATATTTTGAGGTTTAAAATGTCCATCCATTGGGGTTAAAAATGTTCATAAATGGGATTAAAGCAATCCATCAATAGGGTTAGAAACCTTTATCCATGGAGTTTAAATGTCCATCCATTGGGGTTAAAAATGTTCATTTATTGGGGTTTAAATGTTCATCCTTTGAGGTTTAAAATGTTCACTCATGGGGTTATAAATGTCCATCCATTGGGTTAAAAAGGTTCATAAATGGGATTAAAACAATCCATCAATAGGGTTAGAAACCTTTATCCATGGAGTTTAAATGTCCATCCATGGGTTATAATTATTTCAGGGTTAGAAATCTTTGTCCATTGGGGTTTAAAATCTTTATCCATAGGGGTTTGAAATCTTTATCCATAGGGATTTGAATGTCCATCCATGGGGTATAAATGGTCATCCATGGGGTTAAAATGTTCTTCTATTGGGGTTATAAATGTTCATAAATGGGGTTAAAATTATCCATCAATGGGGTTAGAAATGTTTATCCATTAGGGTTAGAAATGTTCATTAATTGGGGTTAAAAATGTCCATGTATGGGATTATAATTATTTTAGGGTTAGGAATCTTTATCCATTGGGGTTAGAAATGTCCATGTATGGGATTATAATTATTTTAGGGTTAGGAATCTTTATCCATTGGGGTTAGAAATGTCCATGTATGGGATTATAATTATTTTAGGGTTAGGAATCTTTATCCATTGGGGTTAGAAATGTCCATCCATTGGGATTATGATTATTTTAGGGTTAGAAATGTCCATCCATTGGGATTATGATTATTTTAGGGTTAGAAATGTCCATCCATTGGGATTGTGATTATTTTAGGGTTAGAAATGTCCATCCATTGGGGTTGTGATTATTTTAGGGTTAGAAATGTCCATCCATTGGGGTTGTGATTATTTTAGGGTTAGAAATGTCCATCCATTGGGGTTGTGATTATTTTAGGGTTGGAAATCTTTATCCATTGGGGTTAAAAATGTCCATGTAAGGGATTATAATTATTTCAGGGTTAGGAATCTTTATCCATTGGGGTTAGAAATGTCCATCCATTGGGGTTAGGATTATTTTAGGGTTAGAAATGTCCATCCATTGGGGTTAGGATTATTTTAGGGTTAGAAATGTCCACCCATTGGGATTGTGATTATTTTAGGGTTAGGAATCTTTATCCATTGGGGTTAGAAATGTCCATCCATTTGGGATTATGATTATTTTAGGGTTAGAAATGTCCATCCATTGGGGTTAGGATTATTTTAGGGTTAGGAATCTTTATCCACAGGGTTAGAAATGTCCCTGGAGCTGCTCCAAGCTGCTTAGGGCCGTGCTGAGCCCTGGCCCCAGCAGGGTAAGCTCCTTACCCTGCCCATGGCATCACCTGCCTGGGCCACAGCCCCAAAAAATGCATTTTGTCCCTCCCAGCATCACCAGGGCACTGGGAGGTAAAATAAGAAATTTTATTTTAAAAAAATATAACATTAAAATGCTCGTTTGGGGGGAAAAAATTGAATTTAAGGGCAAAAATTGGTAATAAAATTGCTTTGAAGTGCGGAAGAATCGAGTTTTTGAGGCTTTTATTTTAAAAAAAAAGCTAAAATACTTGTTTGGGGAAAATTAATTTATGAATAAAAATTGGTAATAAATGTACCTTGAAATGGGGGGGGAAATTGAGTTTTTGAGGCTCTATCTTATCTACTCAAAAAAATGAGGTTTTGAGGCTTTTATTTAAAAAAATAACAATAGAGGGCTCGTTTGGGGAAAAAGTGAATTTAGGAAGAAAAACTGGTAATGAAAGTGCTCTGAAATGGGGGGGGAAATGATTTTGGAACAAAAATCGATAATAAAATTGCTCTTAAATGGGGGGGGGAAAGAATTTTGGTACAAAAATTGGTAATAAAAGTGCTCTGAAATGGGAGGAAAAAAATGAATTTAGGAACAAAAATTGACAAAAAAATTGCTCTGAAATGGGAGGAAAAAAAAGAATTTTGGAGCAATAATTGATAAAAAAATTGCTCTGAAATGGGAGGAAAAAAAAAGAATTTTGGAACAAAAATTGATAATAAAATTGCTCTGAAATGGGGGAAAAATTGAGTTTTTGAGGCCCTTTCTGGATGAATTGCTGGGAGCAGCCCGTCCTTGTTTTCTGCTGCTCCAGCTCCAGCCCAGCACTGGAGATAA